CCTTATTTTGGACTATCATCTTTCTCTCAAAATGGCTGGGCTTTCCCTCAGTTCTATACGAGTCCACTGGGCAGTAATGAGTGTGTTCCATCCACCATCAGATGGTAATTCAATTTTCAGTAAGCTGTTAATTAACAGATTATTGAAGGGCCTAATCAGAACCTTCTTGCCAGTAAGGAAACCTACTCCTCAGTGCGATCTAAACCTTGTACTTTCAGCACTCGCTCAGCCTCACTTTGAACCATTAGCTACATATTCCATGTCTCAGTTGTCAATGAAAGTTGCATTCCTTATGGCTATTACTTCAGCCAGGAGGGTTAATGAGCTGGTAGCCCTGATGGCAGATCCTCCATACACCATATTCCATAAGGACAAAGTCTCTTTACGACTACATCCGAAATTCACCCCCAAAGTAATTTTGGAGTTTCACATAAACCAGCTAATCCACTTACCTGTGTTTTTTCCAAAACCACATTCATCTGAGTAGGAGAGGAGACTTCATTCCCTCAGTGTATGTTGTGCTCTTGCCTGCAAAGGACAAAAGCAATCAGAAAATCACCTAGGCTGTATTTCACTATAGCAGAATGAGTCAGAAGTCAAGCTGTAGTCTCCCAGAGGATCTCTAAATGGATCTTGGGCTGTATCCTGCTCTGTTACCCAATTGTTGCATCTTCCTCCCCCTCATGAATTAAGGGCTTATTCTACAAGAACTCAAGCAACTTCCTGTTCTTCAAGCAACTTCAGTGGCATAGCTTCAGGAAGTACCTTTACTTGACATTTGCAGGGCAACCAAGTGGAGTTCCAGCCACACGTTTGCGAGACGTTCTGCACTACAACCTAACTCCTCCACTGATGCGTTCTTTGGGACAGAGGTCCTCCAAATGACTCTGCTGTCTACATCCTCCTCCTACTTGAGTACTGCCTGTCAGTCATCCACAGTGGAATACACACAGGGACAAGCACTCAAAGAAGAAGAGGAAGTTACTTACCTTGTGGCAACTGGAGGCTCTTTGAGATGTGTGGTCCCTGTCTGTATTCTACTTCCCGCCCTCCTTTCCCTCTGCTTCGGATCTTTATTGGATTTAACTGGGGAGGTGGTTGGTGTGCTCTGCCCTTTATGCCCTCAACTTTGAGGAGGGCAAAAGTGCATGCACGATCCAATGGACACCATTTGCAAGAATTCTACAACTTCGGGTGCGTGGAGTGCATGCACACACCCACAGTGGAATACAGATAGGGGCCACACATCTTGAAGAACTTCCAGTTACCACAGGTAAATACGTTTCTCTTATGACTTACAGCAATCTTCTCTCTAATTCATCTCTCCTCCACTCCCAGTCTATCCAAAATGCTGCTGACAAGATCCCTTCTCATGATCCAAGAGACTGGCAAGGTCTCCTCCTTTCTTTAATCTCTTTATAGACTCGTCTTCTGCATAAAGTCCAGACTTCTTGTTTTCTCCTCCTTGTCCACATCTCTTGCCCTCCTTTCCTCCCACACTCTTCTCACTTCTTCTGCTCCACTGAAGATTCTTTCTGTACCATTCTGTTTGTCTCTTTTGTCCATACCCACCTTGTACCTTCATTGACTATGCCCATTCTATTTTGAACCGACCGCCAAGCAAGGTTTGCCAAGGTCCCTCTTTCGACAGCCTTCTAAAAATCTGCTCTATTCCATGATGTATTCTGTGATCCACGCTACTTCCTTTTCTTTCTGTATTATTTTGGACCCAAGTGTGTATCTAGATTATAAGCATTTTGTTGTTTGTTTGACACAGTATATACAGTGCTGCATATACTTAGGTGCTACCTAAACTAAAAATGAAGGACTCCTCACCTTCCTCTCCAAAACTAGATGTAGATACAGACTAGAGCAGTGGTTCCCAAACTTTAACAGCCCGCGAACCCCTTTCACTAAATTGTGACATCTCGTGAACCCCCTCCTAAAACTGAATATTTCCAGGGATTTAAGTTTAAATTTCCTCAGTGTGATGGATTCGCTTGCCTTGCTCTGCATAGCTCTTGGAAGTCTGGAACCACTGGAGAAAGATAAAGTCTCACGTCTAGTTCGGCATCAAGTCTGTTTCTGTATTTGGTTTTCAGATGTGCATACAAGGAAAATGCTTTCTTGCATAAGTATGTTGTTGAAAATGGTAACAAAACTGCAGCAGCTTTTTCTGCCAGAAAGGGGTACTCGTTTCTTAAACTCAGCCAAAAGTTGATCAATGATAGATTTCTGAAACTTCTTTTCAGTTCGTAATCACAGGAGATCTCAATCAATTTCTCTTTTTCTTTGGTGTTTAATATCTGTGTTGAGAAAGTGGTATCATCAGAAGGGTTGCGAATTCAATCATTATCGCCTGACATAGCTGGAAAGTATTCCCTGAAAGTTGTGCAAAGTCCTTTTAGGTGTGCAATGATATTGGTTTTAGTGCACTGATCCAACTGAAGTTTATGTTCTGCCAGGAAGTCATGAAGATTACTGAAACACTCAGCTTGATTGTTTTCCAAACAACTTCCCCAGAACTGCAACTTCTTTATCAGGGATTCAACTCGCTCTTGCACATTGAAAACTGTTATATTGAGGCCTTCAAGAGCTAAATTTAGGTCATTAATTCTTGAGAAAATATCTGCTAAATAAGCTAGGCTCTGGACCCAGACATTATTTTCCATACAGCTGGCAAGGTGGAAAGAGTGGCTGTTGAAAAAAACCTAGGATTTCCGTTCTAACCTCAAACAAGCGCACAAGGATTTTACCCCTTGAAAGCCATCTAACTTCAGTATGGGTCAACACACAGTTGTGTATACTACCCATTTCTTCACAAAGTACGTGAAATATTCTGGAATTTGTTGGCCATGATTTTATAAAATTCACCATTTTCACTGCATTGTCCAGTACTTCCTTCAGTCCCCCTGGCATGCATTTTGTTGCAAGGGCTTGTCTATGGATGCTGCAATGAATCCAAGAGACTTTTGATGCAACCTTTTTTGTTCGAGCTACAAATCCAGTATACTTCCCCGTCATTGATGTGGCCCCATCAGTGCAAATGCCTAGGTAATGAGACCAATCTATTTCCTTTTCTTGAAAATATGCATTAGTCAGATGTACGTTCTTCGAATGGTCAGCAAAACAACAAGTCTTCTTCAACCATACCTTCATTCACATAACGTACAAACAGTAGCAAAATAGCTAGATTAGCTACATCAGTTGATTCATCCAACTGTATAGCATAATATGGACTATTTTTCACTCTATGTACAATTGTGGTCTCTCCATTATTTTACGTGTAATTAATTCTTCGTGACAACGTATTATTGGACAAAGGTACCATGTCAATCCTTTTTGCAGCCTTTTCTCCGAGCATGCAATGAACTACGTCTTTTATACATGGACCAATCAAGCTCTCTGCTATGGTATGGGCTTCTGATGCTTTTGCTACTCGGTAGCTCACGTGGTATGACGCTTTAAGTGCATTTTCATGATCAGTACTTGCTTTGGATATAAAACTGGTAATGTCAATTTTCTTCTCAGCTAATTTTCACTTGAAAAAATCAGCAGGCTTGTCGAGTTGTGCAGGATGCCTAGTTTCTAAATGGCGCCGAAGTAGAGAAGGTTTGAGGCTGCTGTTTGCTAGAACATCACCACAAATCACACACAGTGGTTTTGGATGTCCTTGATCACCAATGCATGTAAAGCCATATTTTATATAATCATCGTCATATTTTCTTTTCTTTGTAAGTAGACTTTCCAGGACCATCA